CCAGTCTCCAGACCTTAATCCCATAGAAAATGTGGAGGGAGCTGAAGGTTCGAGTTGCCAAACGTCAGCCTCGAAACCTTAATGACTTGGAGAAGATCTGCAAAGAGGAGTGGGACAAAATCCCTCCTGAGATGTGTGCAAACCTGGTGGCCAACTACAAGAAACGTCTGACCTCTGTGATTGCCAACAAGGGTTTTGCCACCAAGTACTAAGTCATGTTTTGCAGAGGGGTCAAATACTTATTTCCCTCATTAAAATGCAAATCAATTTATAACATTTTTGACATGCGTTTTTCCAGATTTTTGTTGTTGTTTTTCTGTCTCGCACTGTTCAAATGAACCTACCATTAAAATTATAGACTGATCATTTCTTCGTCAGTGGGCAAACGTACAAAATCAGCAGGGGATCAAATACTTTTTCCCTCGCTGTATACCAAAAGAAATAAACTGAAACTGAAACCCGGCCGTCGTTTTGCCCGCGTGCCCGTGCCCGCGTGCTTGCACAGCGGATTAAAGCCGATCCTACGGGAGGGGGTAGGGGCGCATGCTTATTCATATGGCTATTTTTAGCGCGAGCCGTGGTGAGCAGCGTGCACCAGTATGGGCATGCGCGCGCATGCAGCTACCTCCGCATTAGTGGTGGTGTACGTGGGGAGTCTGTGGGATAACTCCAGGCGGTGGTGAGCCAGCCACTAGCCATGTCCGTCAGAGAGGACGCTGCTCCATGGAGGTCGATCAGTCGATCGGCGGCAGCCCGGCGAGACGGGGCCGAGGAGGAGGGGGGAGAGGAGGACGGGGCCGTCAGCCCCCACACACAACCTGTGCCCCCTACTGTGTCAGCTCCGCTCGTTGTAAGCGTCGCTCCTCTGCCCTTCGCTGTTGTTGGAAGTTGGCGGGGGGGGGGGACTGCCTTCAACTGCAGCGTCCTTCACGAACCTCAGTTGGGATCACACAGAAGAAGCACCAGCAGCGGCAACAGCAGCAACCATTGCCCCGTCTGGTGTGGAAACCTGGCAGGAGCCTCTCAAAAATTAGTCATGAGACTCGGTGAGACTTTCCCGGGAAGCATGCGGAACCATACGAAAATATAATCATAAATTAATTTTATCTAGCGCCATTCACGCTAACTGCAATAACAATGCTGTGAATTAATTATATATACGGAGAGTCTTTGACTTACAAACACAATTCATTTGTGATGCTAGTCCGCGGCAAGGTAAGGTAAAAGGTAAAAACAACGAGCCTACCTTTATCATATCTTTTACCTTACCACATTACAATCACTCTACCCTTACCTTTTACCCTTTAGTAAGGTAAGGTAAAAGTTAAAAAGCAACGAGCCTACCTTTACCCTACCTTTTACCCTTATCCCAAACAAAATTAACCTGTTACAGGGTAATTACCGGGGTACTACACATGAAAAAGGTTTATAACAGGTAAATGCGAGGTAGAGCGCTTTATTCGTATGGGATACTCTCGAATCGGGGCGTTGAAGCTGTCGACGACACCGTCCTCCATAGCCTCCTCATCCCAGTCGTCTTGGTCGATGACGATCTCGTCAACAACCTGATCAAGTTCGTCATTGTCGTCGTCCTCGGACGAACGATGGGCAATCAGATCCTGCGCCGCTCCGGCCCGGTTAGACGGGGGACCTTCAGGCAGCCGGCCGCGATCCATGGACTGGATGTGGAGCGTCGACGACAGCGACTGGCGAACGCGCGTGAACTCCCGCCCGGCTCCGCTATTCGCGCGTTCGCAGGGCGTTGACGTCGCCGGCGCTCCCGAGTAGTCGCAGGCCATCTTGTAGTGGGCGGGGAGCAGCTCTTTGCGGGGAGACCACCACTGCACTGCGTCAACGAAGGCGCTGGCGGTCGTGACGCCCGTGCTCAGAAAACGATCGGCTTCATCGCCGTCGTCGATGGAGCTGCCGACGTTGCTGAACAGGGCGCTGAACAGCGACCCCCTCCGCCACGTGGGCAGCGGCTGCCGTCGGCGGGATCGCGAGCACGTCCGAGTAGCGATGCTGCAGGACAGAGCGGACCGTGGCCTTCAGTGTCGCCAGGTCATCTTCGTCTGTCGTTTTCGGCAGCTGTGGATTCCAGTAGGATGCCACAACGGCGGGTTCCTGAACCAGGAAATCACGGTACCGCACCAGCTCGGCCTTCATCCCCGTCGCGGTCAAGGACTCATCGATCGCTCTAAGAGCGGTTTCACCGCGATCTCAACGATGGATCAGGTGCTCCATCGTCACCGGCACGAGATCCAATGTCGACTTGCGGTCCACCGATAATGAGGTCATGACCTGGCGCGGCATTTGCAGGAATGCTGTCACGCCCTCGATGTTTGCCCACTGCAGTTCAGAGAAAGCACTGATGCCGATCACATCCCTGAAACCATGCCATGATAATGTCCATCGGCTCCTTGCTGGCGAGCTTGGCGATCTCGGCCTCGTGGCAGTACGACTGCCAGACGACCTTGCTGCGCCTGATATTGACGAGCGCCTCGCGCAGTTCGGCGCTGGTCGACTTGATCAGTTTGAGAACATAGACACACAGAGGTCATGACCTGGCACAGGTAAACCGTATGGGTTGACAGGTATGCACTATTTACAATCAGTGAGTTTAAAAATGTATTTTATGTTGTTGTAGGTTACCATATGGATTTCAATTGTATCGGTAGTTACAGTATTTTTCTATTGCAAGATAATAATGTGATTATTCACCAATGACTCTCTCGCGTACCAAATAATTTCACACATCTATAAATCACTTCACGTGGGACATTGCCCACGCGTATCCCCACCAGGGGAGGTCCGTGCGTACCCACCAGGGGGTGAGAACCACTGATTTAGACCAATCGGTAAAATGAAACTTATGGTGAGATCCCGAGCTCCCGAATAAACGGGAGTCAAAAATCGCAATTAATTAATTAATATTTTCTTGTCGACTCCATCCCACCGCGCACGTAGACACCGCGGTCCCACGTGGCGCGGATCGTTCTGTTGTCGTGACGTGTCCAAGCGCAGCGGCGAGGACGAACGCGCAGAAGAAACAGAACTTTGAAACTTTGATTAGCGGCACCGTGCGTGCAGAGCTCGTCGAGAGGAATAGATCGTCGTGTAGTTCGCCTTCGACAGACATAACACGACGTCGCAACGCAGTTTATGCAAGAGCCGGGGGCTTATGGTACCCCGGGGTCCCGCCATAAGGTTCATTTGATGTCATACACCTTCTCTCTTGAACCAAACACAACCCAAAATGAGCCTCGCCTTGCCCACTCACCCCATGGTGCCTAGGAGATGTTAACCCCCTCGCCTGGTACGCAGGAGGTCGTGGGTTCGATCCCAACCCTGACGCCTGCTGCTGCTGCTGTATATTTGGAGTTCGAGTGTCTCTCTCTCTCATCATCATCACGGTGGCTAGGAGATGTTAACCCCCATCGCCTGGTACGCAGGAGGTCGTGGGTTCGATCCCAACCCTGACGCCTGCTGCTGCTGCTGTATATTTGGAGTTTCGAGTGTCTCTCTCTCTCATCATCATCACGGTGGCTAGGAGATGTTAACCCCCTCGCCTGGTACACAGGAGGTCGTGGGTTCGATCCCAACCCTGACGCCTGCTGCTGCTGCTGTATATTTGGAATTCGAGTGTCTCTCTCTCTCCTCGTGGTCACTGCGTGGATTTCTTTTTTCCTCCGGGTCCTGCGGTGTTTCCCCCTCCACATATAGCATCAACGTTACGCGCTTAAACCATTTGCTTGCTGTATAATTCCACCTGGTGGTGATGATGGGGGCCGTCCATAAATGACGTCACGCGATTTTGGACGATTTTTGACCCCCCCCCCTCTCGTCACACGGCGTCACAAAAAGTCAGACCCCCCCTCAAATATGACGTCACAAAGATCTGCACCCCCCCAAATAAAACATGCTTCAAATCGCTTTAAACTATTGTCATTGTAGAGCGTGTTTAATGTGGCGCTGCACTCTGATGTTGTAGGAGAAAACATTTATTAAAAAGTCTATTTAATTAAGTAGAACGTGTTGTCTATGTTTATTTAAAGTTGCGCATTTTTATGTGACGTCACATTTCTCAAACCTCCCCCTCGTCACACATCGTCACAAATGTCTGACCCCCACCCCAACCCCTTAGGTGCGTGACGTCATTTATGGACGGCCCCATGATAAGCCACCCACTAAGTTGATATATTATTTGCGACAGCGCAGCGAGGTCGCTTCTGAAACAAAAGGAGATACGCGCCTCAGTGGGGGGACTTGTTCCACGCTTACTTGGTAAAAAAACACTTTAAAACGAGTTGAAACTCAAAATATTAAACAACAATCATTAAATTTTGATTTAAAGCTTTCGTGACTGCAGTAATTCATATTCTTAGTTTTTTCGGTAAAGTCACGTTGAAGAGAAACAACAGAATAACAAAATATATATAAAACAATAAAAAATTCTCACGACGTTTCGACCATAACTCAAACGGTCATCATCACACCTGATGATGTTTTATATATATTTTGTTATTCTGTTGTTTCTCTTCAACGTGACTTTACCGAAAAAACTAAGAATAACAATCATTAAGTTGAAAAAAGCTCTGGGATGGTGGGGGGGGTTGTGGTGGGGGGGGTGTGGAGGGGGGGTGGGGGCGTGGTGGGGGGGGGGTGGAGGGGTGGGGGTGTGGTGGAGGGGTGTGGTGGGGGGGGTGGGGGGTGTGATGGGGGGGGGTGTGGTGGGGGGGTGGGGGTGTGGTGGAGGGGTGGGGGTGTGGTGGGGGGGGGGTGTGGGTGGGGGGGGTGTCGAGGGGGGGTGGGGGTGTCGAGGGGGGGGTGGGGGTTTGGTGGAGGGGTTGGGGTGTGGTGGGGGGGGGTGGAGGGGTGGGGGTGTGGTGGGGGTGTGGAGGGGGGTGGGGGTGTTGAGGGGGGGTGGGGGTGTGGAGGGGGGTGGGGGTGTGGAGGGGGGTGGGGGTGTGGAGGGGGGTGGGGGTGTGGAGGGGGGTGGGGGTGGCTGGGGCTGGGGAGGTACAGCCAAGAACAATCTGGAGGTTTCGCACCACACGCGTCTGTTAATAAACCCTCTGAGCTGGCAAGGGGCCTCTGCCCCAGGTTGCTCAGCATCCGATCGCTCGCGACATGGTGAGTCGTCGCAGGCCGCCCCATCGCAAACACACAACATACACACATACAACACACACAACACACACAAACACCCATACACACACAAATACACACAACACAAACACACACAAACAAACACCCATACACACATACATACACACACAACTACACACAACAACACATACACACAAACACAACAACACACAAATACACAGATACATACACACACAAACACACATACACACACAAATACACACACAACACACATACACACAACACACAAACACCCATACACACAAATACATACACAACACACACACCACACACACAAACACACACAAACACCCATACACAACATACACAACACACACACAACACACACATACACACAACACACACAAACACCCATACACACAAACCCATATACACGCAACTACACACACACAACACACAAATACACACAAACACAACAACCGCCATTCGCCACTAAGTGGCGGTGACGTCACCACGACGCTTGTGCCAGGCTATGTGCACCTTGCGCTGTTCGGTGTGGATCACGTCCACGTGTGTCGTGGGTGTTCACGGCTCGGCGAGTGAAGCTGGCGGTGTGGGCCTTGGGGCCTATTGAGTTGGGCCCTGGGGCCTATTGAGTTGGGCCCTGGGGCCTATTGAGTTGGGCCCTGGGGCCTGTTGAGTTGGGCCCTGGGGCCTGTTGAGTTGGGCCCTGGGGCCTGTTGAGTTGGGCCCTGGGGCCTATTGAGTTGGGCCCTGGGGCCTATTGAGTTGGGCCCTGGGGCCTATTGAGTTGGGCCCTGGGGCCTATTGAGTTGGGCCTGGGGCCTATTGAGTTGGGCCCTGGGGCCTATTGAGTTGGGCCCTGGGGCCTATTCAGTTGGGCCCTGGGGCCTATTGAGTTGGGCCTTGGGGCCTATTGAGTTGGGCCCTGGGGCCTATTGAGTTGGGCCCTGGGGCCTATTGAGTTGGGCCCTGGGGCCTATTGAGTTGGGCCCTATTGAGTTGGGCCCTGGGGCCTTTTGAGTTGGGCCCTGGGGCCTATTGAGTTGGGCCTTGGGCCTATTGAGTTGGGCCCTGGGGCCTATTGAGTTGGGCCATGGGGCCTATTGAGTTGGGCCCGTGTTGGATGCGGGGGGGGGGGGGGGGGGGGGGAGCGGTGGTGCAGCGGTTAGCGCGCTGCGCCGCGAACCTGGCCACCCGAGTTCGATTCCCGCGCACGGCCACTAACACCCAGTGACGATTATCTGAACCGGTCCTGGGCCTCCCCTAGGTGGACTCAGCCTCAAATAGGTAGTACCTGGTGCGGTGCGTAAAAAAAAACATCGCCACTGGGGAGACAAAGGCGACCGGGCGTGGTGCTGCTCGCAAACAGCGACTTGTTCCAACATTCTGTTGAGGTTAAACCGGGGGGGGATCTTTGATGATCTTTGTGTGGTGTGTGGTGGTGTCCGCGGGTCAGCAAGTGAAGACGACGTTTCTCGTTCGGCTGCTTGGGCCCGTGTTGGGTCAGCCCGAGTTTTGCAAGTGGCCAAATCAAGGCCGTAATTATAATATAATGTATATATTGGTGGGGGTGTCCCTCCTAATATATTGCTATAAAAAATTGGCTCTGCTATGTAAATAAAAACCTAGATTTGAAGCTTTCGTGACTGCAAGGATTCATACTCTGGTTTTATTCGGTAAAGTCACGTAGATAAAATAAAACAATAAAAGAAAACAATTAAATCACGACGTTTCAGAGGCAACGCAAGCTTCCGTCTTCAGGTGGAATAGTCACAGCAGAATATCTGTGTCATATATAATCCCGGTCGTCTCTGAACTGTGCTCCTGACACACATTCTGCTGTGACTATTCCACCTGAAGACGGAAGCTTGTGTTGCCTCTGAAACGTCGTGATTTAATTGTTTTATTTTGTTTTATTTTATCTACGTGACTTTACCGAATAAAACCAAATAAAAACCTTGGCCACAATATCTAGACTTGTATTCATATAAATAAATGCATAGATTTCTGTTTATGTGATTGTGGTTATGGTTGTTCTTTATTAATCCCTAATCTCTGCCATTACATACAATGAAACAAGAAATAGTAAAAAAAAGTAGAAACGGAGCAATGTAATACAATACACTATTAGACATTATTGTAAAAAATAAATACAAAGTCAATCCCATGTGTTAGTGAATTTTTTAATATTTTAGGCAGGAATGAGTTTTCAAATGTAGATATTTTTCTGGGTTGGGACCCCCAGACACCCTGGAAGATTTGGTCCCCCCCAATGTTGACTCCATGGCTACGACCTTGGGCCAAAGTAACGTCAAGGGGCATTTCTGTGTTGTTGTTGGGAAAGCCGCAAATGCGCGTTCGTCCGAGACGGTGGTTGCCTTAAGTCATAAAAATAAATCCCGTCACGGTGTAGCGGGCACTTCGAGAGCTGCAGATTCGTCGCATCCTGGGCCTGGCGGGTGGTTACAGCGCGTGCGAATAGAGTTATAAACCAGGGGCCCTCTCCTAGATCGACTCGGCCTTCAAACGAGTTCCCAGCGTGAACTGTGCGAACGTCAACGGCGGAGAGACAAAGGCGGTCGGGCGTGGTGATGCTGGCCGCCCCATCACCGCTCGTAGGTGCTGTCCTGACGCTTCCCCTTAAACCCCACCCCACAGATCTCAACCCTAGCCCGGCTGACACACACCAGGACGGTTCCATTTTTGGTTAAGGAAATCTGGTGGGCGGTTAGGAACCGGAGGTGGACACCCCAGGCCCCCAGTGGGGGCTAAGGGATTGCGCAACAATCTAGGTCCCTCCAGAAGGTTCCAGAAAGTGGGCGTGGCCAGGGGCGGGAGTGCCCCTGGGAGCCCCGTAAGAGCGGGACCCCAGAGCGGCTCCGGCAGTCAGCGCCAAGCCGAAGATCGAAGAGCTCGCCTGAAGACTAGGACCCTGAAGATCCCCGGACACGACGTCCTTATCAGGGCCGGGTCTGAGTGGGCCAGTGGTCGAGACCCAGGGACGTTGGCTGGGTCGGGTCAGCCTCCCCTAGGTCCCGTTAGCCGGAGGGCTAAGATTAGGTGGTCCCAGTGACTAGGGCACGTTAGCTCAGAGGCTACACCTCAGGTCGTCGGGTGGAAGGGGCCGTTACCCCTTGGTATTAGGGGCCTCGTGTGTTACCGTTATCTATATATAGAAAAGGGAAATTTGTGAATGTCTGTTCGAAATGTTTAGCATACTTCCCGACATGCAACAAACTTGAAATTTGGCATGTGGGTAGCTTCCAGACTGTACGCAATGCAAAAAGTATGAGAATAGACTTTTGTATTTTGGGTGTTGGGGGGGGCGCAATAATGGATATATTTTGCGCAGCAAGTGAGCGGTGACGTCACATCTGCGATATCGCCCGCATGCGGAAGCGTCGCGCAGTCTGCCTGCTGAAGCCTCGGGCGGAGCCGGATAGTAAAGCTAGTTGTTAAATAAAAACGTGTTGCCTCCTAAGAAGACTCCACCTCCATACAACCCGCTACAAATGCCACCGCGTGTCCCGGTCCCCTTATCCCCCATCTCCCTGTCTCTTCCACTTGTCTCTCTCCCGCGTGTCTGTGCCTGCCCGTGGGTGGCGCTGGCCATCCACCTCCTCGTGTGCCGGTGCCGGCCTTCATAGGTACCACTCGCCAACAGCAACTTGATCCAACAGTCTGTTACAGGCTATACGGGGGATCTTTGTCTGTGTCCCCCCCCCCCTCCCTATGCCCCCCCGTGTGTCCCCCTGTGCCTGTCCGTGTTTCTCTCCGTGTGTCTCCCCGTGTCTTTGCAGTTAACATCTCGCTCACGGTGGTTCGGAGATATTCTTAGCTCTTTCGCCCGGTGTACATCAGGTTGTGGGTTCGATCCCGACTCTGACGCCTGCTGTATATTTCGAGTTTGCGTGTCTCCCTCTCTCCGTGGTGTTGATTTTTCTCCGGGTCCTCCGGTTTTCCCCCTCGACATTTAGAATCGACATCACGCGTTTGGAGTATTTGGCCGACGCTATACACTTCCACGTGATGATGATGATGATATCGGGCACTTTTTTGAGCTATCATTTGCGACGGCCAGGTGGTCGCTTCTGAAAAAGATCCACATAACTCAGTGGTGCCTTACCTGGTAAAATAAAAAAAATGGTTTTGTTTTAATAGTGCTCCCCTCCACGTGGTCCACCCCCTGTGCGTCTCCAGGCTGTGACTCTACACACGGATCTGGGGGATCTGAAGCTGGAGCTGTTCTGTGAGCAGGCGCCACGTGCGTGCGAGGTACGGGGTGACTCGGGGTGTACACAGCGTGTGCATGGCGCCTACACAGCGTGTCCACAGTTCGCTGTCTCTCCTCGTGTCTCCATTGCGCTGTCTCCCCTCCCCCCATCCCGTGAGCAGAACTTCCTGGCGTTGTGTGCGAGCGACTACTACAATGGCTGCATCTTCCACCGCAACATCAAGGGCTTCATGGTGCAGACCGGAGACCCCACAGGTACGGTCTGTTTTCCTGTAACGCCGCGTAGGCTTTTTAAAACGCGAATTGGATATAACGCGATTAATATATATTAAGGAACACGTTTCTTCGTATAACGCGGATGTGAATTGGATGTATATAACGTGATCGGATGAACGGAGCTATGTCGCGCGAGTAGGAATAAGCGGTCGTAATATAGCTGCCTCGGCGTAGCATCGCACAAGGCAGGATGCTGCTGGATGGTTCTAGGTTGTATACATTGTGATAAAAAAATTGTTTCATGAAATATGATAGAAAATCTTTTCTAAACCTGAAAATATGTTATTGTATATAATTAAGTGTGATTAAACTAAAATGTGTGTGTTAAGTGTAATTAGGAATGTGTGTGCAGTTATTATGTGGTGCGATTATTATTGGCTCACATCTAGGGGTATGTACCACCAATCGTGATAATATCAATGATTCTCACTTGAACATTTATGATTCTCCGTTCAACATTTATGATTCTCCGTTCAACATTTATGATTCTCGCTTTAACATTTATGATTCTCGCTTTAACATTTATGATTCTCACTTTAACATTCATGATTCTCGCTTTAACATTTGTGATTCTCGCTTTAACATTCATGATTCTCGCTTTAACATTTGTGATTCTCGCTTTAACATTTATGATTCTCGCTTTAACATTTGTGATTCTCGCTTTAACATTCGTGATTCTCGCTTTAACAATTAAGTGTGTAATTAAGTAAAATCTTGGGATTCAGATCTCACCGCAGGATACAGTTCGTCATTACGAACTGTATCCTGCATGCTGCAGCATGCAATGACAGCCACTGGGAAGACAAATGCGGTTGGGCAGGCTCTAGTTATAGCCCTGGAATAGATATTATTCTGGTCGTGGAGAAATGACAATTCCTATTATGTATATCTTCTGAATGATCCTTTGGTTCAATACTTCAATGTAAAACCTTCAGAATTCGTTATCAAGTTTGTATGTGCCACCCAGATCTAATGGCACTCATGTATGGATGAGTGGATGTTAATAAAACATGCAACCAGTCATATTCCAAACCCCCTGACTGTTGTGCTGTATTGTCGTAGAACAATATTTCCTATCACAAAAGTTAACATTTAATTCCAGGATGCTTAAGAATGTTCATATTCATCATTGGCATTTGAACTTTTTAACTTTCCAGGCACCAGGGTTTGTTTAATTCAAAGAGTGAAACGGCAAGGGACATTCTTGTCTCTTTGCCCTGTATTTGCTCTCGGGTGGGCAGCGAATTTACGGTGTTTTGCCATGGGTCCTCCCTTGCTCTCTTAGTAATTGCTGGGTTACTCCTTGCCCATGCAAGAGTTATTCCTTTTTAGCCTGTCATGAACGTTTCCTCCTTTGCTATGTTGCACCATACCAAGGCGCTGTATGTCTTCTTACTCTCACCACGCTCACAGTCCGATAGGGGGCAGCCGGGAGAGTGAGCGGGAGATGTAGTGGTTAACCTGGGGTAAACCCCCCCCCCCCCCCCTGGGTGCCCCGTCACCGGAGGTAGAGACCCCAGACCCCCAAGGGGTGGGGGCTGGGTGCCAACGGTTCATTCCCGACCCTTCCAGACCCTTCTGGAAGGTTCGAGGGAAGGTGTGGCTAGGGGCGGGGTAAGCCCCAACTGGTGTATAAAAGCTGGTTCTCTCAACGGGACCGGCAGTGTTCGTCCACTCAAGGCCCGAAGACATGTAAAGACTAGTCCGCAACCTGGGACCCTCAACCGAGGCTCTTGTAAGAGCCGGGTAGCAGCGGACCCGCGGTGAGACCCGTACCCTGGCTAGGTCGGGTCAGTCTAGCCTCCCCTAGCTCCCGTAGCGGAGGACCCGCGAGAGCGTAGCCCCGAGTCTGTAGGGCACGCTATAAGGGAGGCTGTACCTCCCTTAGGTTATCGGGTGAAGGGGCCGTACCCCGTAGTGTTACATGGGCCATAACCCTTAGTGTTACGGCTATTGTTATTGTTATCGTTATCTGAAATAAACGCGTTGCCTCCAAGAGAGTAGTCTCCCTTCGAAGTTTATGCCCACAACAGCTATTTAGTTAAGTTCATTCCTGGGAAGCAAAATATTCAATGGCTTTAAGGCCCTCCTCAGGTCTGATTATTCTCATCATGCCTATCTGATCGATGTCTCTTGTATTGTTTACCTGCTTCTCATTCTAGTGCTGTATTGGCTTTGTCATCTGGTTTTCCCGACTTTTGGCATGCAAGGAATGCATATTTGTCTCCAAGGAGCCATGACATATCACACTTTATATATTTTTTTCTGGAAAAGGATTTTATACTGCACTTCCCACGCACCTCAATCTTTGTTCAGCCTGCGTATGCATCTCACGTGTTATCGCGGAGTGTGCTTTACCCCTACATTATATACTATTTATTATAATAAAACATTTTCCACAATGCGGTGTTCTTCAGGAACGCAACTACTACCGCCACATTATAGGAGAGCACAGACTGTACTTCTAAAAGTTTATCTTCGATTCTTGCCACAAGCTTTTCTCGGCAGGAGGAGTAGTTTTGATGCCACCATGTAGAAAGGGCAGGATCAATGCCTTCCCTCCAATCTGCCGCTATTGATGAGCCTGTCTGTCCCCTCTACACACGTTGCTCGAACACCCTTATCAATCTTGATTTGAAGCTTACGTGACTGCAGGAATCCATACTCTTTGGTTCTTTCGGTAAAGTCACGTAGGTATAAAATAATATTTTATTATTTTTCTACCTACGTGACTTTACCGAAAGGAACCAAACAGTATTCTTGTTCTCCGTTTGACGGCCCGCCGGGCCCTGCGCACTGCAGCATTTTTGCCGAGATATTTTACGCATTCTGGGTGTCCCTCCCATTTTTCTCAACAACAAAAAAAATCTCCCGAGAGCAGCCACCGCTCCATCCTCGGGGGTGGCTTCAGTATCCTGGAGAAATCCATGAGCTTTGAAGTTCTTTTTCACACATGTAGGGGCATGTCAGAAAGTTACGACAACAAACAGTACAAAAATAATTGCAGTGCAAAGAATAGGAAAGGTAAGCAAATTAATAAAAGTATAACATTTCTAATTGTTTTAAAGCTTTCGTGACTGCAATGATTCATCTTCTTTGGTTCTTTCGGTAAAGTCATGTAGAATGAGAATAAAATAATAAATTGATAAAATAAAATAAACACAATAATATTCTCACGACGTTTCGGCCACAACACAAGCGGCCTTCATCAGGTGAAGGGACGGGACTGTCTGGTAGGACAGCGCTGGAGTGAAAGAGCCACGTTCAGATCACGGCCTTTAAGCCTCAACTTTAGCACCACGGATAGCTACGGGCCCCGTTCAGACGGACGAGTTCGTCCATGGTCGGAACAGAGGAGGGGAGAGAGACAGCTGCGAGGCGCTATTATACTCCATGTTGTAAAACCATACCATTAACCGTGGTGTGAGAGGTATTAAGAGTCAATGCTGGCGAAAGAGCTGCGGTCTGAAGGTCATCGTAAAAATACAATTAATTAAGAACAGAAATGATTTAAAACATATTTCCAGTGGTTACTAAGCCAGAATCCATCTTCTCGGTTGAAATTGTCTCTGTGCTTGTATATGTGAATGGCCTCATGAACGGTGCTAAAGTTGAGGCTTAAAGGCCGTGATCTGAACGTGGCTCTTTCACTCCAGCGCTGTCCTACCAGACAGTCTCGTCCCTTCACCTGATGAAGGCCGCTTGTGTTGTGGCCGAAACGTCGTGAGAATATTATTGTGTTATTTTATTTTATCAATTTATTCTTTTATTCTCATTCTACGTGACTTTTCCGAAAGAACCAAAGAAGATTTCTAATTGTATTAGTACAAAAATTCCCAAGCTTTGGCAAGGAAACAAACAAACATCAAAAACAGTCCCAGACCACACCAAGATAACACACAGTAGTAGTCCCTCAACAAAATTGCACGTTAAAATTGAACTATCCGTACTTCACAGGTGAGAATCAAAGTTACAAATCACATTTGCAAATATAGTTTTATCCAATGCTAACCATCTGCTTCAGGGTATTTTTTTTAAAGGAACATTTACAATATTAAGGGAGGAAACAAGGTTGTTCCGAAATGCCGGTGCTACAACGGGAAAGGATTTGTTTTTACCCACTCCAATTCTCGTTCTTGGGATAGTTTAAAGGCAATCAGATGGACGCCTTGGGTTTGACAATGGGGATAATGAAATTTACTAGTATAGTGCAGAGTAACCAAATAAGGATTTTATGGATGAACAAGGCCCAATGTAGATGTATTCTTGCATCAAGTGGTGTGAGATTGGATTTTAAGTTGAGGTGACAATGGTGGATCCTGTACGGTACATCCAGTGCGATGGTCCGTTTCGGTGGGCGCGTGGTGACACGGTGGCGGAGCGTGCTTGAGGCAAATGCCGAGGGGGTGGGGGGGGGGGAAGATCACAAAAACGGGTGAAAGATCAAAATGTCGTCTAATGAGGAGAGCCTGGAGGCTGGGTCTAACTCGTACGCTGCACCTCTGCAGGAACCGGAAAGGAGGAAACAGCATCTGGGGGCGCAAGTTCGATGATGAATTCAACGAACACCTCAAGGTGACGATGCATGTGTTTATGTGATGACGCAGTGTATATGACGTGCAGTGTGATGACGCTGTGTGATGACGCACTGTGTGTGTAATGATGCTGTGTGAAGACGCAGTGTGTGTGTGTAAAGACGCAGTGTGATGACGCAGTGTGTGTGATGACGCAGTGTGTGTGTGTGATGACGCAGTGTGTGTGTGTGAAGACGCAGTGTGTGTGTGTGATGACGCAGTGTGTGTGTGTGATGACGCAGTATGTGTGTGTGAAGACTCAGTGTGTGTGTAAAGACGCAGTGTGACGACAGTGTGTGTGATGACGCAGTGTGTGTGTGTGATGACGCAGTGTGGTGTGTGAAGACGCAGTGTGTGTGTGAACAGCAGTGTGTGTGTGAAGACGCAGTGTGGTGTGAAGACGCAGTGTGTGTGTGAAGACGCAGTGTGTGTGTGTGAAGACGCAGTTGTGTGTGAAGACGCAGTGTGTGTGATGACGCAGTGTGTGTGTGAAGACGCAGTGTGTGTGAAGACGCAGTGTGTGTGAAGACGCAGTGTGTGTGTGAAGACGCAGTGTGTGTGTGAAGACGCAGTGTGTGTGTGAAGACGCAGTGTGTGTGTGAAGACTCAGTGGTGTGTGTGAAGACGCAGCAGTGTGTGTGTGAAGACGCAGTGTGTGTGTGAAGACGCAGTGTGTGTGTGTGAAGACGCAGTGTGTGTGTGTGAAGACGCAGTGTGTGTGTGAAGACTCAGTGTGTGTGTGAAGACGCAGTGTGTGTGTGAAGACTCAGTGTGTGTGTGAAGACTCGGTGTGTGTGTGAAGACGCAGTGTGAAGCCGCAGTGTGTGTGAAGATGCAGTGTGTGTGAAGACGCAGTGTGATGACGCAGTGTGATGACGCAGTGTGATGACGCAGTGTGTGTGTGAAGACGCAGTGTGTGTGTGAAGACGCAGTGTGTGTGTGAAGACGCAGTGTGTGTGTGTGAAGACGCAGTGTGTGTGTGAAGACGCAGTGTGTGTGAAGACGCAGTGTGTGTGTGAAGACTCGGTGTGTGTGTGAAGACGCAGTGTGAAGCCGCAGTGTGTGTGAAGATGCAGTGTGTGTGAAGACGCAGTGTGATGACGCAGTGTGATGACGCAGTGTGTGTGTGAAGACGCAGTGTGTGTGAAGACGCAGTGTGTGTGTGATCATGCTGTGTGTGAAGGCGCAGTGTGTGTGATGACGCAGTGTGTGTGATGACGCAGTGTGTTGATGCTGTGTGTGATCACGTAGTGTATGATGACACAGTGTGTGATGACGCAGTGTGATCACGCTGTGTAATGGCGCAGTGTGTGCGATGATGTTGTGTGATGACGCAGTGTGTGTGTGATGATATCGTGTGTGTGTGATGATACCGTGTGTGTGATGATACCGTGTGTGTGTGATGATGCCGTGTGTGTGTGATAACGCCGTGTGATTACGCAGTGCGATGACACTGTGTGATGACACTGTGTGATCACGTAGTGCATGCGATGATGCAGTGTGTAATGACGTCCGTGTGTGTGTGTGTGATGACGCCGTCGGTGATGTACTTATGCGATGACGTCGTGCGTTCGTGGGGGCAGCACAACGTGCGGGGCGTGGTGACGATGGCCAACAGCGGCCCCAACACCAACTCCAGTCAGTTCTTCATCACCTACGCCAAGCAGCCGCACCTCGACATGAAGTACACCATCTTCGGCAAGTGAGTGTCACTGCATCGTCGCCACCGCCACGGCCACAGCAGGAGTGGCCAGCGACACTCCACCACGGCCGTTGCGGTTTTGCCAGGCTAGGTGCACTTGGAGGCATGTCGAAGGC